TACCAACTTATATTATGAATTCGCCTTGATGGATACTTTCATCTCCTAACGTTCAGAAATAATATTGACTGATGATTTGCATCAATGCATTTAAAAAGTCAGCCCGCTTATGGAGCAACCCTTGTGTACTACATATTGAACTTTGCATTAAAGATAATGTGGCATGATGCAGTCCGAAGTGGTTAAGCATTTTAAAATTAATAAATCACCAGATAGCATAACCCAATATATATCTATATAGTACATACATATCGTCACCTGAGTGGACCTGAGTCGACCTAATTCGGCAGCCAGTTTGAAAGCGCCCTATCTCTGAAAACTTTTCAAGAACGCCCCACTTCAGAATTTGATTGAAAACCACCTCATCTCGTAATTTGGTTGAAGAAAGCCCTATCTCAGAATTCGGTTCCAAAACGCCCTATCTCAGCTGAATATAAATTGAAAATTTCGAAAAGTTTTCTGAGTTAGGGCGTTTTCAAACTGGCTGCCGAAATAGGTCGATCTTCCACTCAGGTATCGATATCTTCTGCTTTGTGTGATGACCAAATTAATTTTTGCCCACAGGAATAAATCAGCCTTAAGCTGTTGTCGATAGATTTGCCCATTTAAGCGTATATAGTTTTCAGCGTTCTATAATCCTGACGTTTTATTTATTTTTGTATTTTTTAGTAAAAAAAATACTAAGGAAAGTTCTATTATGTAGATATGTATGTAGGTTCCAAATGACGTTGTGGTAATTGCCGGCTATTGAAAATTGTTTACTGCAAGTAATGGCAAAGTAGGACATTTGGTTTGTGCTTATTTTTCCGTTTTAGATATTTTGATGGTTACAGTTTAATTCATATATCTATTAATAACTACTGCAGACTACATATTATAGTAAAGTTTCAAATACTTATATCTATCCTTTTTTCTTTTTTCTCTTTACATATCTATTAACAGCGGTGTTTACAAAGTAATTTGTAATGGCGATCATATTTCTACTTATGACAATAGTGGAATATTCGGTGAATTGGCGCTGCTCTACAATGTTCCAAGGTGAGTGAAAGGAAAACAAAAAAGAAAATATTCCTTATTAGCATTAATCCAGACGCTAAGTTACACAAATACACGCACAAATAAAAAATTAATATAAATTTTTTATCAAAAAATTTATTTTTTAAATAAACTAAAAAGCAGTCTCAAAAAAACGCTCAAAAATCAACACGATTTTTCAGCCGGTTTAAACTTGCACTTCATTAGATTAAAATTGTACGCGCCTGGCAAAAATTCTTAGGTTAATAACCATGAATATACATATCGTCGTTTAAAGTACAAAACCGCGTATCGTGATCCCGCAAAACCGCGTAACTGACATTGGCTGCCAAAAATTGGATTTGCTCACACAAGCTCTTGGCTCAATCCTTATCCATTCGTCCTGAAATATACTAGGCAGATATGCGATTGCTTAATAAAAAAAAAAAAAAACATTTTGAAATATGAGTGTTTTTACACTCTAGAAAATAATTTCTGCAACTACGCGGTTTTGCACTTTAAACGACGATATGTACATAAGCACAAAACCAATATTAAGGATTTTCTCTGGTCGGCAGCAAAAGGATACTCAATAACTTTAATTAAAACGTTTATTTACGATATTCAAAGCTGAAGAGCTTTGTGCAACAAAAACAGACTGTTTAAATATTTAACAAACCATCGTCAAAAGAGGAAATGCACTTCAATACACGCATACATATTTACATACATACGGATCTATAAAATATATTCATTAGCATCATTTTATGGTTTCATTTTTGTGAAAGAGCGGAAAGTTTAATATTAACCTGAAAAAATTGCTATTTTGAGAAAATCATATTTACCTAAAATATTGTATGCCTTTAAGATAACCAGCTCGCCTAAAAGTCTACTTTTTCTAATAAAATTTTGAAGAGCCCTCAAGAATATTTTCTTTAAACAATTTAATTTAAAAGAGACTAGCCGGCCACGGATGCATATGTATGTATGTACATTTACTTATTTGGAGAAATAAATCATATGTCATCAAGTACTTCGTTTATTATATACTTAAAAAATCTTGTCTAAATTCGTTCAGTAGCGTGGTCAAAATATCTCGCCTTTCCTTTATACTTACGGTGACCATCCGTTCTGTTTTTTGCAGGACCGTACTGTTTTTCAAAGGTCGGTCCTGCCTAGTTTTTCAAACCTGAAAACCCTGAAAATGTACTGATATTTTCCAAGTGTCCTGCATTTGTCCCGCATTTTATTCGTTATTTTAAAATTATCGGACAATGGATGGATTTTTTCAAAAAAGTGTTTTTTGGTACTTTTCCTAGCTTTTTTTCAATATCTCATGAAAAAATCTCCCAATCAACGTAAGCGTCTTACAGCTCGAAGGGTATTGATGTGCCTCTTACCAAAATATATAACTTGTGGCGACTTCATTGAAAATTATTAGTGCTATAGGCGACCATTTGCATTTTGTCGTAAAAGTCGAAAAAAGTGAGATTTTCAATCAAATACGCAGTTTCACCTGATTATTTTTTTCATTATTTTAAAAATTCGAAGAAGATATATCACTACAGTAAATTTTGAGCCAAAGATAATGAAAATCAGATTAGAAATGTAGATGCTATGGAGCGCAATCTGCGCAAATTATATATTTTTGTAAAGGGCACTTTGTAACTCGTCGTTTATCGTGAAAAGTACCAAAGAACAAAAAAAGGGTATTGTTTTCGTTTTGAACGACTCAAAATTTGCCTATAAAATAATCTTTTAAAGATTTTCACTTTTCGTGTAAGCTATTTTAATTATAATATGTTTTACTATACTTTTATAAACATTCATGTAAAAAAGATTAATCGATGAAAAAACGTGATTCTTTTTTAAAATTTAAAATATATTAAGAATTTAGAATCATAAATACTCTTTTGATATTTTTATACTACGTAAATATATGTAGGCGTATTTTTGAAAAATTGTCCTTCATTTTGAATCCATATTTATGGTCACCGTATTTATACTATGTATAGAGGCTAAGTCTCTTTATTTGACAGAGACGATGCAGAACTTACGCCTACACTTATTAGGATTGAATATAGTAATTTTCTTGACAAGTGGCAATCCCATTCATATAATTAGACATTAGTGCTTTTCTAGAGACCAATTACTTTCATTTGACACCTCATTTTTGGTAATCCAATGATGGGTGCGGATCTTATAGTTTTTTTTTTTTTGTACAGGTGGCAACCCTATTTAAATTCTAAGTAAAAAAGGTCACTCTCCTATCGGTACAGAGTATATTAGAGAAAATCTCATCAAAATCCGTTCAGTAGTTTTCGAGATTACCGCGTACAAAGAATCTCGACTTTCCTTTATATGTACTATGTTTAGATGATTGTTTTTGATTCCATAATTTAATAAAAAAAATGCAAGCACTTTTCCTGCATTTTGAATTTCATCATTTAATTTTTACTCCATTTTTCCAGAGCCGCATCCATACAGGCTGTAACAGAAGGCCTACTGTGGGCTATGGATCGTCAAACGTTCCGTCGCATTCTATTGAAATCCGCTTTTAAAAAGCGAAAAATGTACGAAACACTTTTGGATAGCGTACCGATGTTGAAAGCGTTGAAGGTGAGTGTGCTCAAAGAGAGTTAATCGTTTAATCTAAAACGGATTTTAAAACGAGTAGTAACTGCTTTGGTCGTTTTCTACATAGAAAACCATGGTAAATTTTCTCTGACAATTTCAATGATTAAGTAAGTTTTAGTTTTTTTTTTCAAGATAAAAATAATTTCTAAGTCTCTGAATACTTATTCTCTTTTTCGTGCATTAACGTTTACGCATGTGATACAATGAATGAATATATTTAATTAATATACATACTTACATAAATCAAAATATTTAAAAAAAACGTCTGAAATTTCATTTCTTCTAGTCCTATGAGCGCATGAACTTGGCTGATGCCCTAGTTTCCAAACACTTCTCTAACTCTGACAGAATCATCAAACAAGGTGGAGTACTCGACCAAACATTAAAATGAGAAATTAAATTTTTACATATTTATTCCTATGCCAAATGTGCAGGTGATGCCGCCGACGGTATGTACTTCATTGAGGATGGTAATGTTGTTGTGAAAATGGATCAGGACGGCAAGGAAATTGAAATCTCCCGACTGGGCAAAGGTCAATATTTTGGAGAGTTGGCTTTGGTTACACACCGACCACGTGCTGCTTCCGTTTATGCCGATGGAGAAGTTAAAGTTGCATGTAAGTTAAAAATAAATTTCAAAAGGTTTTGTGGTTACATAAGTACGTATGTACTATGTACCTCTGAACGAGAATTTAAATTAGTTAATTAATATTTTTTTCATTACCACATCCATAAAAATAGCAGTGAGAAGTATTGAATATGAATGTATTTAAATTTTCAAGGCAATCGGCTGGAAATAACTTATAGTTGTAAACACTTAAATAAAGATAATTGCAACCGATATATTCTTTGAGTATTTCGCTTCAATTGGCACCTATCATGACAATCAATTATTTGAAATAGGAAACATTCCGAAAAATTAATGCCATATAAAAATGTATGAGATTTTCACGCTAAAAATTAAATTATAAATTATAATTGTAAGATAAGACATTATTTATGTGAAATGTGGTTATCGAAAGCAATTTTTTTTTTTTTGTATTTAAGGAAAGCTATTTTGGGAACTTCAGTTTTAAAATGAAGAAAATTTTCTTGGATATAGTAGTTCTTCAATATCGAAATTTCATAGAAATATCCAATATCCAAGGAATATTGGCCAGGTATTAGCAGTGAATCAGCTGACATTTTACAAATATTTTTAATTTTTTCACACAATTTTTAAATTATGCAAATGTATTTTCATGGGAAACCTCCCGCCAAACAATTTCTGTTGCCGGCAAGGAAACAAATTTATTGCCGGTAATACCGCCATCATATTGATTTCGTATTACCAGTCGTTCTGAAACGTCCGCCGAAGGAGTCGTTTTCTTATCGCTTCAGACGTTATTTGGAATAATTTTGTTCTTTTTAACCGACTTCCAAAAAAGGAGGAGGTTATCAGTTCGTCGGAATATATATATTTTTTTTTATGTATGTTACCGCATAACTTTGGACCACGTCAACCGATTTCGATAATTCTCTTTTGAATCGGAAAGGTAGTGTCTCAGAGGTGGTCCCATACTAATCTGGTTGAGATCCGACCAGTGGATCATGAGATATATATATATATTTTTTTTTTATATGGGAGTTGAAGTCGGTTTTTTCTGCTAAAAATTACTTGTTAATACTTCATTTATTTTTTGTATACAAAATTGGAACATAGAAACGGAATGAACTCCTTATATCTCTTTGAGGCTTCCTATTCCTATTTTCAATCCTGTCTTTGGTATAAATTAGATAATACTGTTTGGATAATATTGTTGACGCGAAATTGACAAGTATGGGAATTTTTGATAACTTACTTATTCCAAAATTGACATGAACAAACTGATGTTGCCGATTTTTCACCACGGCAATAAATCGATGAATCGCCAATTTGTTGCCATTGACGATTGTTGCCTATTTCTCATGTTTTGCATGGTGGGTTTTTTTTTTCATAAAAAGAAGCAATTAAAAGCAGCTTTCGGCACGTTCTCTTAAGGGGTCAGGGTGATAGACGGTCGAACAAATAGGTTAAATAATGCATGGATTTTATCAAAACTTTTTGTTTACCGCGTTGTGAATTTTTCTCCATAAAAAAAGATCGTCGAACATTGATGCCCTAATTAGATAAGAATTGTTGAAAATGCAATTTTTTTTTCGTCTATAATCGGATCAAACGAGTTAGGTACTAAAATTAGTTTGAGTCTATCTCGTTGCTCAAATGAATTGGATCATAACTTGCATTTGAACGTTACTGGGCAATTTATTAAGGATTCCGAGCGCTCCACACATTTCACCAAGCTAGTAATCGTAAGAGCTTATCTTCAACGTTGTTTTTTTATGAGAACCTATTTGTTTGCCTCGGACCAGGTATCGAACCTGGGGTCCTATGGAAAGATGTTTACTTTCTGAGGCCATTTTAAATTTTATCTACATACTTTAGATAGAATCAGAGTCAAAATCTTAGAACAGAAAATCTAGAAAACCGATATTTTTTCCTTTATATAAGATAGGTATGTTCAATCATCTTCATGATTGATAGAATCGGTATTTATGGACATTACGTCACTAAAGTGTCAATTTCAATGGGTGGATGGTTCCATTATATTTCATGCGAGAATAAGCCGTGTACTGTTTTTTTCATTTTAATTAGAGCTAACCTTAACTCACTCCCTATTTATCCAGCCCGTCACAGTCGTATACGTTCGTATATACATAAGATGGGTCTGTCAGCAGATCCCTAGTAGCAGCTTTACTGTGAGGATGATCAGATCAGCTGTACACATTTTACATTTCAATATTTTTACTATCACTTTTCGCACTGAAAATCATAATTAACTACCGATTGTAAGTTAACCCTTCACTGGGATAACGGCACTTGCTTACACAAATGGGAATGCGTTTCAATTTAGCCGGAGTTAACCTCTTAAAGTTTATTTTTTCTTTTACTTACTATAAAAAGTATTGCGTCTTCAGGTTAAGAAGTCGTCATTAGAGGCCATTTTCACCATTTTTGGTTAGCATTAATCCCCAGTTAAACATCGTTTACGACGTTACCGACACAATTTTATAAATATGCATGGAGTCAGTAGCGTCGGCAACGATGTTTAACTGGGTATAAGTGTTAACCAGATATGGTGAAAACGGCCCTAAGGGACCGAAGTTCTTGCAAAGTACCTCGCTCCGCTCAACCCGAAAACTAAACTAAGTAACTAACCAATTAGCTAATTCCAAATTTGAGAGTATTGCCTGAGCCTTCTTACAATTTTCGAATTGGATCGCGCCCATTACGAAAATGAGCACTTTTTTGTACTAGTTAAAGGAAATTATGCTGGCCGTGGATCTCGAACCCATGACCTCACGGGTAGGCGGATTCGCAATATGTACCGGCATCTGTGAGGGTACAGACTAACGTTGCCGTCTGCCCATGATATAAGTTGTTCACAGCTGTAAGCGCTTTAAAATACTTGTTAAGTAGTAAAAAAAAGTTTAATGCAAAACCTCTATTTTTCGATGGGTGTGGTA